TACTGAACTTACTAATTTGTGCAAATTCGTGTAATTTCTTACAAAGTTTTTCAGGCAAATATGGTATGCACTTTACCAGCTTAACTACTTTATTGTGTTATAATGCATTATTTTGTAATTGTATTATCTTGAAGTTTTATTTCTTTGACAATAAAATAATATGAACACAATCACTGAGGGTGATATTTTATCCATTAAAATCCAACATAATATAATTTTATTTCTCGACACAGAGATGAAATCGAAAAATTACYATTTCAGACCGTTCAGGGCTGAGGAGTAAAAAGATGCCAAATCTGCAAAGAGATTTTTAAAGATTCTCTTGTTTCATTTCTCAGGGTGTTGGTAAGAACAAAATAGTTGACAGATTTCTTCACCTTCTGAACAGACCAAGGGAATACATTCAGCTACACAGGTAAACGTTTGTGTCTTTTCTCATTCATCTGAGATTCATGCAACGACTTTATTTTTACACTTAGATAAAGGAACCAAGATCTAGAATGAAAACAATACATTCCAACTTTGGGTAGTCGAGCCAATCAGAAACCTAGACTGCACAAGAATGGTAATTTGACCCTGATGTAACTTGTATGTGTTTTTTTTTTTTTTTCATTCTACAATTTAATTGGTTCTCGCTGTCTAAGTGACCCCGGTTATAGTTGCCGCGCTTTAATACCCTTGCAGTGGAAAACTGGTCAGGGGGGCTAAAGGTGAGGCAATTAGGGCCCTCCATCCCCCACTCCTAGAAATAACCTCACGTGAAGGGCAGCTTTTGAATTTTTATTGTTCTATTGTAGGGATACTACTGTGCAGTCTCTCACTTTACAACCAACTGTACAAGATGGTGTTATTATCTATGAAGATTCGCCATTGGTGAGTCACAATGTTATCAGAACTTGACCATTAGAGTACATTRACCTGGTACATTGTGATTGGTTCAACGGTGTTGTGAATTGCGTACCGTGACCATGCCATGTAGTCCTAGCATTCTGATTGGATGACCATTAACATAGCATTTTGCGATTGGTACACTCATGTTATAAATTAACTTCCATGACCGTGCCGTGTCCCTGCATTCTCATTGGACAATCATTAGCTTAGTGCAGTATGATTGGATCATATATATCTTATAACTTGAATCCTTTTCTAAGTGACTTATACTATCTCACAGGTCCGTGCTGTGAAATATGGTCACGTGCTTGTGGTCGATGAGGCAGACAAGGCACCTACACACGTGACCTGTATCCTCAAGTCACTGGTAGAGAGTGGAGAAATGGTCTTGGGAGATGGTAGAAGGATCATTAAAGGTAATAAAGTTTGATTGATAGCTGTCAATCTTTTATTCGTGGATTTCTTTTCCATCTTGTTAGACTGATTTCAGTCAGAGGATAAAAGTCTGTTAATCTTATTTTCTGCTGTAAATGGCAATTGAACATGGACTGCAATGTGCTGTCAGCCAGAAAAAATACAATTGGAAATTTGCGACTGGAATTGATGACCTCAACTGATGAACATTCCACAACAGACAGGAAATGACGTCAAGAAAATAATAAGCAATAGTGCGTTTTCTTAGTGCTTATTTTCCCCCCATTTTAGGCATCTTGAGAATAGGAATATTCATTCAAATTTTGCCAAACGAGTGTATTATTTTCTTGGCCGTTGTCACCAGACAAAAATATAATACTCAAGGGATTGACACATTGTCTGAACTGGGCCATTAATTTGATATTCTGATTTAGATCGAAGGTGTTAGGAAATCCTGGCAGTAATGATTGACATTAAATGCAAATCCTGGAAAATAATTCCTGGCAAGTTCAAACGTTTGTTGTTGTATTTATAGGTGATGGTGGTCTAAAAGTACCGGATAATGTCATCAAAGGACATCCAGAGTTCCGGATGATCGTACTGGCCAACAGACCTGGGTTTCCTTTCCTTGGCAACGATTTCTTTGCTGCGCTGGGTAACTCATTTATTTACTTAAATACACCTATTGAATAGACCATTTTCGAATTCGTAGAATACCGCTATGTTTCTTGATCATTTATTCAGGGTTAGCCTCGTGTCAGTGTTTAAATATTCACAAATACCAACGGTAAAGTAAAGAATGTACAACTTCGACAATACAAACACTTTGAAATTCCACGGACCTTCACTGGAACACATGAATATTCTACACAAAGGCGAGGCTAACCCTGAGCAACAGAGAACTCGAAACTGGAGTATTCATAGAAATACCATTTCATTAAAACGAAATCGTTTCATGTTACAGGAGATATCTTCAGCTGTCATGCCGTTAACAATCCTGATTTCAAGTCCGAAATGGTAAATAAACATTGATATACAGTGTTAAATGGGTTGTTGGTAATGACGTCATAGCCGCCATATTGGATGAATCAGTTGAAGTAGTGTATTGGGTGTTTGTTTAGAACCAATATGACGACCTTAATCAGTTTTATCTCTTTGTTATCTCAGGATTGATTGTAAATCAGTTCCCTTTGTTCCTTCTTGAATTTATTCTCCCATTCTTTCATTCAATCAGCAGCAGTAAGGGGGACTCGCG